CAGGTTAAATAGTCAGAAAAACAACATTTTATTAAATTCTTTATTCAGCATTACAGTCACCCATCAAGCACATTATTTTATCAACTGAAGTTATTGAAGTTCCATGATTTGCTAGATTATAGTATTTTATTAGTTATGTATAGGGCTCAAAATAACACATTACCATTAAATATCCAAAGAAATTTTGTTAAAAGACAAAGTTGTTATAATCTTAAGAGGATAGAGATAATTTTCAAACCAAAATTCAGAACTAGTCTGAAGGGAAGGTCTACCTCAATCCAAGGAATTGGATTGTGGAATGGTCTAGAGAGTGATGTTAAAAATGCCAAGTCACTGTGTACATTTAAGAAAAAGATCAAAGCTGAATTGTAAAAATATATATATATGAAGTAGCTTAGTGTGTTTTGTATTAAGAGTTAGAAAAATTAGAAAGAGTTATTCGTTTTGTTCTGTTTTTTGAAGATTATTATGATTGAACTGATTGTTTGAAAAAAGGGGCAGATATAATAAGTTTTTTTTCTTCTTTCTGCAGCCTTTCATTTTAAATCTCTTTCTTTTTAAATGAATAAACTTTATACCATACCATACCAAACAGAAGCACTGTAAACAGTCGTAAACATTGTAAACAGTCAGAACCATTGTAAACATTCTGAAACATTGGAAACAGTCTGAAACATTGTAAACAGTCGGAAACATTGTAAACAGTCAGAAACATTGTAAACATTTGGACACATTGTAAACAGTCGGAAACATTGTAAATAGTTGGAAACATTGTAAACAGTCAGAAACAATGTAAACATAATCACTGTAAACAGTCAGAAACATTGTAAACAGTCAGAAACATTGTAAACTGTCAAACATTTTAAACAGTCAGAAACATCAGAAACAGTTAGAAACATTGGAAACAGTTGGAAACAGTCGGAAACAGTCAGAAACATCGGAAACATTCGAAAACAGTCAGAAACAGTCAGAAACATTGCACATATTATTCCTAACCAGAATGTTGATGATGACACACAGTAACTGTGTAGTTAGTTTATAAAAGTAGTTAACCACAAAGAGGATCAGCAAAGTGAGTTAATTCATTACAGTAAATGACATGAGGGAGACGTCCAACATACACTGAATGCATCACTCTGCTTCAGCACAGTAGAGTTCTGCTCCGCCTCTTTGGTCCTCATGGATCTGATTAATTTCTGAAAGCTCTCCTTTGAACGGGACATGGACGATTTACTTGTGATTTATGAACCGTTTGAGTTGTGTTCACTGGCAACATTATCACATTACACACAGACTTACAGAGTTAGAGATAGCAGTGCATGATATAAGTTAACACTTTAGTGTTAGCTTCTGATAATTCATTTATCTCTTTAATGATTTAGTGTTAGTGAAACCATTTTTTTTTTATTGGCGAATTAGCGGTAAGCGTAGCTAACTTTTTAGCTGTGCCCACCACTGGCTGCCACCATATTCATCCATCCATTATCTTTTACCCGCTTCTTCCATTTTGGGTCACGGGGGTTGCCGGTGCCCATGTCCGGCAATCACTGTGCAAGGGGCAGGGTGTACCCTGGATGGGTCGCAAGTCCATCGCAGGGTGCTACCATATTCATTCAACCTTTATTTAGACAGGTTAATATAAATATGTAAATCGACCACACCTACCATTTGAGGAAACAGTGCTTTCTAGTTATTGTATTGATTTCAAAGTATAGTTTCCTCAAAAGATTAGGGTGGTCAAAAGTTAAGTTATGGTGGCCTTGGCCACCATTGGCCACCCCCTGGCTCCTCTACTGCACCAGGTGGTCATAAAATTTGCTCCCTCCGTTCGCCATGATTCATGCTCTCTGCCTTGGAGAAGCAAAAAACAAAAACAAAAGGTTCACTGTACTGTCTGTTCAGCTGCCATCCAGGAAAACACTCATCTCCCAAACGACAAACTTTTACTGTTCAAATTCCTCAGCGACAGGGACATCAGCATACTGCTCGTTTACTCACATGTTTAATGTTTTGAGGAATATTTTGCATTTATCCAACTATTTTTTGACCAGAACTGAACTTACTGAGAATGTTTTTACTGTTAGTCAGAGTTCAACTAACATGACACACACACACACACACACACACAT